CTACTACTACTACTATATATATATATATATATATATATATATATATATATATATATATATATATATATATATATATATATATATATATATACCCCCTTCCATGATATTTTTTCATCATAAACTACAATCATCATATGTTCAACCATCAAATAGTTCTAAATTTCTAGTTTACTTTCTTGTTCCGACCTTTCAAGTAAAAACGAAAGAAAGAATGACAATGCTTAGTGCTAAGAAACTCATCAAGATGGCGAGGAGATGGAAGAAGTTTGCGGCAAAGCAGAGGAAGAAGATTTTACTTCCAAGAAATGTTGGTGATGCTGATACCTGTAGTGTGTCATCCTCTATTGTTGAAAAAGGCCATTTTGTAGTTTATACAATTGATCAAAGGCGCTTCTTGGTCCCTTGGATTACTTGAAAATGACGTCATTAGGTAACTTTTAAACATGTCTGAAGATGAATTTGGGCTTCCAAGTGGTTTTCCTATTACATTACCCTGTGATTCAGCGTTCATGGACTACATCGTTCACTAATCAAGAAAGGCGTAGATGCAGATTTTAAAAAGCAGTGCTTCTATCAATTCCTTCATGTTGCTGTTCTACTTCTTCGTTGCAACAAGATAGTGGAACTCATCAAATTCTTGTTTATTGAGTACTCTAGGTCAACATTCTTTTTGTATGCTAGCTCAAAAGTAGTTTTTAGAGAGGGTTGCGATTGAAGAGTATACAATTGTAAAGCACATCATACAGATTGAATATTATTTTTATCAGAAAATTTATCATACTGATCATGGCTTTCACTTTCAATTAGATTACGATAAGTCAGAATAAGCTTATCCTTGATTAGTACCTTTAATTTAAGTATAAATACCATTTTGTTAAACAAAAAAGTTTCACTTACTGCAACATCTCCTTGATTGAATAAAGTCTAAATGACGTGAAAGTCTTGACCCTTGACACTAAGTAGATCAAATTTGCCTCGACCCCAAACTGGTTAACCTCACTTATATGAATCATATTTGTAACTATAAGATTGCACCTATGGATGCTTTAATCTGAAGGTACGTACACGTAGGGTATGGCAGATTCTATCTAATGACCTTCCTCTTATTATCATTTATATTTTCCCTACATGTGCACACA